ATGCATGCAGCTGCTCTTGAATCTGCACAGGTTTTGCCTCCCTTGGGTGAGTGTTGCTAGACTATCGAATTAGAACCAGGGGACATTATGTGTGCCACTTGTTCAATAGAAATGAAATCCTTTGGCTCAAGTTGTTCACTTGCAGCCGCTTTTCATTTCCCACGCGAAGCTTCCGGGGTTTCTGGAATGTTGATCCAAATCGCATTGGTAGGAGATCCAATGCCACGCGGGCGAAGGCTTGAGAAAATAGACGTGTCTTGCATCACAAGGTTCAGCTTGTTTCTGCCATCAAAAGGCATGGTGGAGGTTCAGCCTCTTGCTCAACACTCGCGAGTGGTGCCTCCATAAACTGTTTCAGAAGATCTCCGCCCAAGGGTCCGTAGAAGTCTTGGACCTCAAAATAGAATGAAGAGCTGCCTTCAAGCGGTTTCAAGTGAGACCCACAACTGCATCCAGTGCAGCCCTGCGTAGACTTACACACATAAATAAAGTATACATAATTACAATATATATATATATAATACTCACACAAAAAAGACACATACATATCCATACATTTCTGTGATCTCGGTGGCAATGAAAGCTCGCAGCTTGACAGTCTTCCTCTGGAATCGTCTTCAGATCGTCTTCGCAGTGTTTGTGACATCCAAGTGGCCAAATCCTGGGAATACGTGTTGTGCTGGTGGTCCGGATTGACCTTGCTATTGCTGAAGGACTTGGGCTCGGGGTACAAGCGATCAAAGCCTCCAACAAGCGGCAACAAGCTGGAACAGTTCGATGTGGCAGGCCGGCGCGTTGGAAGTTGAAGGTAAACTGGATAGAAAGTCATGTCTCTTACGGACGTGCAAGCGTTGCAAGTGGTTACCTTCAAGATCCAGGAAACAAGTGGTTAAGCCAGTGGAAGCCAAGATGTAAGTGGTTAGGACACTCCCTGTTCTCTGCTCAAGGAGAAAAAATATATATATACCCTGCCAAGCGCTTGCAGAGATCGAAAAAAAGGCCCTTGAACAGCGCGTGCCGAGCGCTTCTTTTCTTTCGGCCGCACTGCCGCGCCTTGAATCTGCTTCCAGTCCGCGCCAATGCGCTCCAGCAGCTCTATGACCTTCTGCCTGGATGTTTCTACTTCCAGTTGCTCCACTGTGTCGTAGAAATGAAGCGACTGGTAAAGGCCTGACAATTGGCCGAATTGGCCATCTCTGTGTCACATCTGGACAACACACTCACGGCCCTACAAAAATCACGGAACTTGTTTAAGTCACCCACTTCTACTATAGTTTAAGATTGCAACCTCTGCTTCACCAGCTGTACACACATACACAAGAAAACAAAAAACACAAATCATTCAGGATTAACATTCGCCAGGAATAACAACACCTGTCGACAACACCTGCCTCCGCAGAACTGGCTCATAGGCTTGAAGTGAGCATCAAATTCAGTTGCATATTCCTCCTCGTGATTGTTGATCGTCCACTTCACTGCACCTTTGAAGGTCTTGCCTCTCGTGGGAGGACGTGGGTATCGCATGGTATCGCTGTGGATGTGCGATGTGCGCGGCTTTCAGCACGAGAAACCTTTGAACATCCTTGAGCCATGCCCCCAAAAGCAGAAGACGGGCATTCATGTGAACATGTTGGGAGATCTGGACTCTCGCAAGGGGCAATGTAACTGGTAGTCACGCGGTAGTCCCGTTGGCCTGCATAGCCAAAGTGCAAGCGGCAGTGTTCAAAGCCATCAGGATGGAAAGAAGGTTCGCACTTGCTTCGATATGCTGACCTAGGCACGGTCTCAGTGACATGCCGCCTGTGAGACCGGGAAGTCTCCTAGAGCCGAACAACCGAGCACTGAGGCCACAGCAAGAATCGCTCCAGGGGATCACGGAAGAAGACCGCTTTGTGCCAAGTCTTGTCCATCCTTTTGTGCCGGAAGTTCAGTACCCAACGGCCAAAAGCCACAGAAAACACCCACGAACACACTGAGCTGGAAGATTTCAAGGAACATGTGTGCAGCGATATTGTCTTGTCCTCCTGGAGCTGGAGCTCCAGGCGGCTGAACCCGATCGAATGATTCACCCAACGAAGCCAAGCATCAGAAGTCGTTCAAGGCCAGCTTTGTCGAAGCCATGTTTCTGTGGAGTGTTTTGCCACCAAATGCCCGAGTGGCTCAGAGAGCTTCGGCTTCTGGCAGCTCGTAGGTTTCTGAAAAGCAGGTTGAAGGACTGACAGCCAACCTGAGTTTTTGACAGCCAACCGCATGGGAATCGCAGTGTCACGGGCTTCGTCACCCGGTTCGAAGCCTCAATGGGTCGAGTGGGAGTGCTGGCTCCTCAGAGTCTTCAGACTTGGCCGCCCTTTCCATATAGGTTGGAGGCCACCGCTAGTGGGTTGGAAGCTATTAGGTTGGAGGCCATTGCTTCTAGGAGGCCATCGCTATTAGGTGGGAGGCCAAGGTTGGAGGCTTGAGGAGACTCTGCAGACTTGCAGGCCAGGGGCCTTTTCCATGTAGCAAAAAAGCAAGCGATATTCCGGGACCACGATGAAGCGATTCAGCAAATGCGCATTGAGCTTTGCATGCTCCGGTCGGATGATCTCCGGATCGATGGCGGACGCGAACTTTGCGGTCGCCTGCAGTGAACAACCAATGAAGCCATGGCCTCCAACCTAGTGGCGATGGCCTCCAACCTAGCGAACTAACACCTAATTGTCGTTGGATGGACAAAATCTGCAAGTTAAAGTTCACTGTGAAAAAGAGAGTGTATAGGACACAGAGTACAACTTAGTTCAATCACCTCACTTTCTCAACATCTCAAGTCTCACCAGCCTCACTTGAGTTCTGCTCGCTTTGGGCCTGCGACTCGGCCGCATGATTCATCTCTCGGGGATTCCCAAAACATCCAAATGGCGAGAAGTTGGGCGTACCCCTTTACCAGTTGCAGTGGATGATGATGGTTCGGTTGCAGGCCTTCCTCAAAAATAGTGATAATCTTTCAAATATCCGCAAACATCCACAGATGCCAGATCCCTCCGCCAGATCCCCCTCACCTGCCTGTGCAGATTTCTGCGCTCTTTGGGCCTCTTCGAGCTTCTTCGCCTGCGGCGCAAGGGCGGAAGGACTCCAAGAGGTGGCAAGGTGGTGGTGGCAAAACATGGCAAAACGTCCGCTTCGGGCCACGAATTGTTGGTTTAAACCTCTGCCTCTTCCTCCTCTGCCATTTGGGCAGCTAGAGTTCTCTCCCGGAGCTCTTCCTGCTGAAGCGCCTGGGCAGTCAGAGAGGAGCGGAGCCAATGAGCCAGACCGGGAGAAGGTTCTCTGACCCGCCTGTACGTAGCGTGATGCTGGGTCGATGGGCTCCTTTGAGGTTCGAGCCTCAACAGCGTCTCTCAAGTTCAGATCAAGTAAACCTTGCCCAATCATGCTCAATCTATAGCTGGGCTAGGCAGTCTTGGCTTTGTCTCACGTCTTCACATTCTGACAGGTAACTTGCACTTGTCCTTTACAAATGACAATGCTTTACACTCTGCAGATCCCGCACGGAGCCTCGACAATTGGCTGCGCCTGACTCTCCTCCCCTCTCACTGGATCGGGCTGCTTTGCCACTGATGCCTGGCTACTGAACAGGCAATAGTTGCATCAACCCAAAATGAGCCAGCTCTGGCTGGCCTGCCTGGCTTGCCTAGCTAGGAGTCCAATCGAAATCACTGTCTTCTTAGGTCCTGCCCCTCCAAACTCTTAAGAGCCGTAAACGCGAGCCTTTGCACTCAAGAAACGAGCAACATGCTCACATGGCGAGTCATAAGTGTCTTCATGGCTTGGCGTCTGACGGTGAAGAAAAAAACACCCCACGTTCGCCAACGGAATGTTCTATCTAAATCTGTAAGTCTATAAGTAGATCTATACTGGGTACTGATGAGGAAAATCAATACCGGTGGGTACGTTGCACTAGTCCCATCTCATTGGGGACCAGTATAGCCGATCGGAGCCAAAGTATTTTGTGAGCACATCTGGTCACCCAGTGACCCACTGAGACACCGAGTAGTTGCCCAAGTGGCAAAGGTGTTCCAAAGAGACACCTCGGACCAAGATTTCTTCAGTTGGATTTGTTCGTAGTTTGAAGGAGGATGGTCAGACTTGACCTATGCCTATGTGACATACGTGTATACATAGATAAATGTTTTCTAAACATTCATGATACTCCAAGTTCAAGGGATGCTAAATGATTTGGACAGAATTCAGTATCCCACAACCTCAGCTGGCAGTGCAGAAATCGTCAAAAATAAAGCCTCCATGCATCTCCACGCCCAAGCAAAAATGACTCAGCCATTGCCCGCTGCCAGACATCACCACTCATGCTTAACTTCCTTGTCTTACACGTCTTGCTTGTCTTACACCCACGTCGCGGCACATCCGCGCATAGATCAAGCGTCCAATGCATAGATGATCAAGACCGCATTGAGGAGATCCCGGACATTCTTCACCGTCGGCCGTCGCACGGCCGGCACCACCGTGAGGCGCAAACAAGCCACGATCGGCCGCATGGAGAGCTACACACTCCACACCCATGGAGTTCCATTGGCGCGCAGGACAGCGCCTTGTTTCAAGCTGGAGAGCTAGGAGAGAGAAACAGTGAGACGTAACTAAGGCTTCTGTCATGATCTCCAAGACGTGTGGACTTTGATGGCAGGCTCTAAATATGCTACGTTCGTAGCATCCTTGAACCCAATGAAGCGATGCCCTCCAACCTAGTAGCGATGGCCTCCACCTAGTAGCTTCTACTTGTTCCTAGTTGTTCGTTCAACCATCCGATTGTGCTGCTGGTGTATGATGGATCATGGCCCATGAGGAAAACTTGAGGCGGCAGCTGACGCGGGTGCACACACACTCACACACTGTGGCATAGAGGTCATGCTTTCGGTTTGTCTTCAACTCGCTGAAAGTGTGTGGGATGCAAAATGATCCGCTGGGAATGTAACTGAGTGGGCAAACTGACCAATTCTTGGCCAGACCTCCAATATCTGAAGAAGTTGGGCTGCTGCCGGCCACTGTCTCTGGTCAGAACAACACAGAAGCACCGCCTGCAGGAAGAGCAAGCCAAAACCCCACTTCTGCAGCTTCCAAAAGCTGAAGCATACTCAGGAATACAGCTCATGGATATAGCAAATCGCAGGAACCCGCAACAAGCAGAGACATCCACTATAGTGACTATAGTTACTAGGATGCAGTTCCAAAAAAGAAACGAGAACTCTTTGCTATCCCGGCTTCACCAGCCAAGGACCCAGGACGACCTTGATGCCCATATCTTCTCTCTGAAGCTGCGCGTGACTCATCTCATACAAAGTCCTGTCAGCAGCTGTGGGACCATCCCTGACCCATCACTTTTGGAGCTCTGTGAGTTCGACCCTGTGCGTGTTTGCTTTGTTTTCGACCCTGTGCCCTTTCAAAAGCCCACGGAGATCGCTTCACCCGCAAGAGATCTCAGCTGTGGTGGGACGGTCGCACTTTCGATTCATATTCCCACCAGTCCTCAAGGCACTTCTCCAAGAATCACCCTTCTCCAAGGTACTGAGAAGCGCACTGCCAGTGACCACCTGGGGCATGCAAATCACAAAAGAGTTCCAGCTTCTTCAAAGGTGACTCTTTAAAGAGTCCCCAACGGTGATCTTGGAAAGCTTGGCAGGTCTGGTGACCTAAAGATGTCAACTGGGAGGATCGAGTTCGATCGCTTTGAAGAAACCAGGTTAGTTGAAGTCTTCCGTTCGGTTTCCGTGATGCTCCAAGGCACCGAGGGTCTCATCCGACGCCCCGCGGTCAGGGCGTAGGTCTGCAGGGCCCGCACCCAGCGCCGCGCGGCCGCGCAAGCGCTCAAGGCGCCATTGCAGGTCATGACCTGCGAGCGCGAACGGATGCTGACTGAATCTCATTTGGACAGACCACCTACCTGGAAGCAATGGCCTCCAACCTACTAGATCCTACTGGCAACGGGCTCCAAGCTACTAGCGATGGCCTCCAAACTAGAAGCAAGGGATGGGCTGGGATGCTAGATGATGAATCTCATTTTGGTGCGCAAGAATGGACAGAAAGGACATTGGCAGAGTCTTCTGATACTCGAGGTCTGAAGATCTTAAATGTTCTTCGATGCCGGGTGACGTTCGCTTGAAGTTGAAACAGCCACATGTCGTTCAGAAGGGCCAATGCTCTGTGCCATTGAAATGCATTCTCGCCTCGGGAGCAACAAACCAGCCGAATGCACACGTCATCTGTCGTTGTCTGATGTGGTCAGGAAGGTCTCGCGAAGAAGAAGAAGAAGAAGAAGAAAACATTAAAGATTCCTGTGATCACTTCAACATCTTCAACCTACAAAGATCATCAATTATCTACATGCTAGGAGCAAGGACGCTACTAGGGGCTTCTGGACTCCCGTTCCACACTTCCCTGTTCCTCCCGTTCCTCCCTGCCATCCAGGCCATCTCTGCAGCTCAAGGGCATGCGCCAATGACACTGCCGACCCGCAGAAGACTGCGACGGGTGCCGTGGCCGCGGCCGTGGAGAAGATCCACCGCGACGGTCCAACCTCGAAGCCACGAAGAAGATTGCAGGTGTTCTGCGATGAACAAGAAGCTACGAACGGAGTGGCAAAGGGCGGCATCGCGACTCGAACGGAGCGAGCAAGGACGCTACGAATTAGGGGCTCCTGGCCTTACTACGAACGGAGCATTTCGGGCATCGCTACTAGGAGCAAAAAGCTATGGACATATGGAACTGGACTATGGGTCCACAATGTGCTCGTGGCACGCTACACTGGATCTCTTCTGTCTCACACTGAGGACTGGGCGGCTCGACTTTTCACATGCCAAAGTGGTGGCCGAGAAGTTGATCCTTAGGAACTTGGATCGCCCAACGAGTGCGTCCTCCCTTCAAGTCGTGCCGAAGGGAAGCATATTGATCCTGTGACGATTCTGTTGGGATTGTTCACTCCATGATTAGAAGGGAGGAGGGATCTTCCCTAATCATTGCTGTTGCTCAAAAAGCCCTGCAAAGCCAACGTCGGTCCGTCGGTTCTTGCATCATCTGCCAGCGAGCTTCTCGTTTGGAGCTATGCCTGTCACTGGCATATCAGCCACCAGGCTCAAGCACTGCTCCCAACGTCCTGAAGGTCTGCCGCAGCGGGGTTCACGGGTCTAGCTGCTAGGCAACGGTTGGGTTGCTTTGGTCTGCCTGAGGCTCAAAGGGTGCCTGAGGCTCAAAGGGGCTTTCATTTAATCTTTATATAACAAAATATATAATCTGTATATTATCATATCATATTATCATATCCTTGGAAGCCCATCTGTGGCGATCTTTCTGAAGGAAGCCTTTCTTGAGATTCCCCGTCTTCTTCAAACACGAGCGCCACACCGCCACAGTTCCAATGCTCCGAGGTTCCATCACATCCACTGAGTGCCTTGGGAATTCGGCGAATTCAATGAAATTCCCATCCTCCATGCAGCACGATTCGGCAAACTCTCAACAGCACGATTCGGCCCCTAGGCCACCAGGCATCCTGCTGTTATGCAATGTCGTCACGTAATTGGCGCACGTGAAGAGATCATGATTCATTTCGAAACATCTGGACTGGCCAAGTTGCAACAGTATAGCTTGACTGAGAGACGCGAATCCTGCATCACACATGCTTGAACAGCTTACCAGCACGACATGACAATCTGGGGCAACGAGAGAAAATAACCATCGTGAGAAAGATTACTGTGACGCTCGTGTCACGACGTATGCCCACCTACAACTCCAGGATGTCGCAAGCAATGCCAACGCCACGACCCACTGTCTGCCTCTGCCAGAAGGCTCAACTAGTCTCGGTTTGACCCCAGGTTCCGCACATGAGCCACATGCAAGATTTCTTGTGTCGGCTGCATTCGTTTTCAAATTAGACGTCCCATCAACCGCTTTCCAAGAACTAGCACTCTTCTGCAAGATTCCATGATCCTGGTCAACTGGCTTCCGACGCATGCCCTTGCGGACGATCTCCCCAGGCTAACCAAACATCCGAAAAACCATCCCCGAGGGGCAACGAGACTGGAAAGTCGGGTTGTGCCTTGTTCCCCCAGCAGGCCAGAACCTCGACCAAAACCATTCGCTATAGAATTCTGCGTTCGTCTTACAGCTGAGACGAAGCGTCCAGATTCGGACCCCTACACCGTTCTGAAGGTCCCAGTGTCGCGACCGTCGAGCGGCGAGATCGCGATCGACCCAGCTCAGGACCTCGTCCACATGCATCCAAGGCCGCCAGAAGAGTGACTTCCTGCACAGATAAGACGCCTTCGCTCACCCGAGTGACTTGACTTCCCGAGTGGCTTCAAGATCTTCAGAGTTGGGGCTCTCGGAAGCGAATTGCGAGTTGCGAGAGTTGTGAGTGACAGGGGTCTTCAGTCTTGTCTTGTCTGTCTTGTGAAGAGTTGCTGAATCCATGGAACCTCAAGTGAGCAGCACTTCGCAGAAAGTGGGCTTCATTCGGGTTTTTCCATACGATGCAAGCTTGTTTGGTAAGGAGGTCAGGGCAAATCGCCTGGCAGTCCACCCAACAACCAAGTGATTCGGTCAGCACTCTCTGGCCATACGATGCTGAGGAGGGAGCATTGGGTACTTCACGCATGAATCGCATGGTGAGCAGCAGGTCCTTAAGCCAAATGCAGGAATTACACTAACATGGAAGTGGAAAACCACCTGTTTGTAGTGGAAAATGGTCTTCCAAGGGCCATTCTCCACTTCCATGTTAGTTCCGGGGAGTGTAGATGTAACTAAACATGACAGACATCTAGTAGACATTAGATAAGGAACCTTATAATCATGTGATTAATCATGTTAGACATAACATCTAGATTCTTGTCAAGGAATCTCCATCATTAGACATCACTTGTTCGACACCCTGCGGTCTTTTTTTCCAAGTCGGTCATTCCGAAGGGTGCTGCGCACCCTAAGGCCCTGTGCAACTCCACCTTGAGTGTCCATGTCTCCCTTGGGTGCCTCCCTATGGACCCTCTTGGAACACTGGATGAGCAAAGGGCATCGCTACGAACGGAGCAAGGACACTGGATGACCCTGAGATACCCTGAGGCTCCGGTCCAAAACGCGTTGCCAATGACTCCCTCGTGCCAAAGCTGTCATGGCCGCGCTAAAGGCCACCACGTTGGGCTTCATCTCCTCCAATCTATGGACAAAACCAAATGCTTCTCCCTCTCGGCAGATGTTGTTGATTTAAACAACTTAGATGAAAACACAAACAAATTTTGCCCGACTTGTAGACCTTTTCCTCAAGGCCATTGCATTTAGTAAGCACATCTGAGTCAAACTCCTGAGTCAACTCATCAAAAATGGCCAGCCCCATCTCCCATTGCTCAGCAGCGTTGCACGCATGAATCGCCGCACTGAAGCTGAAGAGGTCCGGTGAAGACCTTGGAGGTGATTAGTAAACCCTCCCAATTGGAAATCCTCTTCATATATGGAGGGTTTATTGATCAAGAGTCTACATTATGGAGAGTGCTTCTGGGTTTGGACAGCAAGCTTTGTTCTCTGGACCCTTTTCCATCCTTTTCCTCTTCCAGCTGGGTGAGCGATCCGTGTCGATGCTTCTTCCAGCATGAACTGCTTGGCCATTTGAATGTTCATGTTATCTCCTGTTGCTTGGGCCACGGAAGGGTTGCTTCACCGCAATACCGCGGCTCTTTGCGATCGAGGAGCTGCTTGCGAACCATCTCTCCAAGGATTTCCAGGGCTTCCTCCCACAAAGCACCTTCAGCACAGGCCACCATCAAAGAGCCTCAGCTTCGCAAAGGTCTGGGAATCGGAATCCTCGCGCGAAAAACAAAGCTCCTGGCTGTACAGCACGACGTCCGGTTGCTGGCAAAGCGCCTGAGATGTCGTTTTTGGGGCTCCAGATTGTTTATCTTCGTGTGAAATGGACTAAGCCAGAAAAAGCGGGACAAAGCATGTCTTGGGCGTGTGTTGTGTGCCTGCATGCTCTCTCTCTCTCTCTCTCTCTCTCTGTGCACTGCGTCGCGAGTAAACCAACATGTTTCTTGCATGGCGTAGCTATGCGTTGCCAGTACCTCTGGAAGCCCCGACCTCTGGAAGCTGCAAAGCTCTTCCCCAGTGAGAGCCAGTGGTGCAGCTCGTGACTACTGCATCCACTGTCACCAAGTCCTGATCTGAACATCATGGAGTGAAGAAGTTCAATTCCAAGTGCAAGCTGCGCAAGCTGAAGCTCACAGAGCAAGTCCACTGAGAACAAAAGCAGGTTCATCTGCTTCTGCGATGCATTGCGATGCCAAGCGGCTGGCTGCATTCGAACCATCTCATACACCACTTGTAATGATCTTCGCCACTGGAAGGCACGCCCGCAAGAAGTGATGAGGGTGTTGCATGCCACCTGGCACGCAAAGTGCACGTCAATCACTTGTCAGGATGTCAAGAAAATGATGACCATGAGGGCCTGAAAAGCGCTCGGGCCATCCTTGTCACTCCTAGGCTCTACGAATGCGGCGAATGCGCCTGGCCTTGCTTTGGTTGCAACTTCCCGCGAGCGCCGTGCTCTCCTTCTTTGTGACAAACTTGAAGCTGGATGTTCAAGCTCTCAGATGGACTTGGAAGAGATTGGGGCAAGAAAAAACCGAATAGACCAGATCTCAGCTAGTTCTGGTAAGTTCTGGTCCAGCGTCTTCCAATGTGTTTCCATGCCTCTTCGCGCTACGTGCCTGTGAAAAAAAATGGGGATTGCTGCAACCTGTCTACCCCTGCAGTCCTGCCACAGAGACGCACATGCGCCGATGGCCGTACTTCTAGTCTTGTCCGTGGGCAGCAAAGCTCGGCCTTCGAGTCAAGAGAGGAGCTCATACAGCACTATTGAAAATGGACATCTGATTGTACGAAACAGGAGTCAATAGTGAAGTCAATAGTGGAGATCTTGGTTGATTGGACATCTGAAACAAACTAACATTAAGAACCACGATGACCTCGCTGACACGGAGTTCCTTGCCTGGCATGGAGAAGAGTATCTGAAGCACCGCTTTCCATGAGCCTTTCGCCTCAAATGCACAGAAAGATGGTTCTCCACAGATCGTTACAACTTGGGCATTGTCTGGCACCGTTGGGCGTTGCCAGGCGTTGCCAGGTGGCAGAGGCGCGGAGGGCCTGGAGCAGGGAGTTGAAGGTCACCACATCAAGTCGCAGGCCCTGCCGTCCGCAGCTCTCCAACATGTCGAGAGCCCCCTGCCAAGCTGAGTCCTGCCAGTCTGATCCAGAAGAAATCACGGAAAGAATAATTACTGTTCCCAAGTGGTATGTCCATTAATTATCGCAACATAGCTGTCTGATCAGCAAAGAACCCAACAAAAATCCAAAAGGCCCGAGGTCCTATTCCAATCACCGGACATGTTTTTCCCATCGCCATAATTGAAAATTGCGCATCGCCCATGTTAAGCTACACTGAGTGAAAAACATGGGACACTCCTTTCCTCAAAAGTACCCCCTCGGAATGGCACTCCTTTCGGCAGGCGGCCACAGCTGCACTGACATGGAACACATTGACCTCCACCTCCCATCCAAGAGTTCTCCACAAAAATTTCGGCAAACATGGTTGAGTCCGGTTATGTCTGAAGAAGGACTATCTAAGGAACCGCCTTGGCTTCCCACATCTCATCCAACGCCACAAGGGCTTTGGAGTCCATCTCTCGCAATGCCCGGGTCGCATGGGCGGGATTTCCCCACTTTGAGCGCATCAGCGGGACCTGACTCAAACGGAATCATCCACTTTCTCACATGTTCTGAAAGCTTCTTCTGTGTCAAAGAAACGGCATCCTATCAACATGCTCGCCTTGGTTCTTGCATTTTGACTACCCTTGCTTCAAGCAGTCTGCCACTAGTTAGAACACCCATGACCACCTTCATCACATGCCATGGCCCCTTGCTCTACAGCAGCAATGCCATGGCCCCTGATTTCTCACGCCTTGACTTCCAAGAGAGGGCCTCAATAGAAGCTTACGCCTCAATACGGAGCGAAACTGGGGACCCTCTTCGGCACAAAAGAAATCGTAACACATGCCACATGTTTCTGCACTGTTTCACATTGAGGGGTATTTACTATTTACTTTTTGACTTTGTTGATTTTTGCGTTCCCGCTTAGTCAGAGTCTTAGTCTTAGTGCTTCCGCTGCAGTGCACTGAGGCACTCCGGCCACCTCATGGGCGGGGGCTCTTCTGACTCTTCTGCAAACTGCCTTGGCTAAACAAAGGTTGTTTCATTGGCACATACCAGGCTAAGCTGTGTGTCCCACCTCTGTCTGGGGAAAGGCTGTCTCAAGATGTTTGAAGTCTAGAAGCATGAAGCGCATGGTCAGGCAGGCCGGTGCGTAAGCCAAAAAGCTTCCTTGAAGCCAAAGTTCTCCTCGGAAGGTATCCATGCCAGGGCAAACACACGCACACTAAGTCTGAGTCTCACTAAGTCAACTCATAAAAGCCGCTTGCAGTCCATGACTTCCTCGGGTTCGACCTAACATGGTGTGCCATTGGCTCACTAGGCTCTCACCAGGCTTGCATCTGTCCTGATCTATGTGACGATGTGCAGGGCTGAAAGTCGGTTCCGCCATGGCCGAGCCGCAAAGAGGCTACAGAACAACAATAATAATAACTATATAAGCTCTAATCAAATCCCACAATGGTTTTGCGGCAAAGTGACATTTCTCACCTTCCAGCTGGTGAGAAGAAACGCGCAACAACATAGAATCGGGCTGCGAGCAATGTTGCTAGTCAACCAGCTACCTTGAGTCTGGCAATTGTCCTGGCTGCTGCGATGCAACTGTGACTTTCAGCATTCCCAACAATGATCGGATTTCTCATGGCATGGCTTGCAGCGGCTAGGCGGCTAGTTCAATTTTTGTCTCATAGACTTGCAGCGCGGCACCACCACAAGCTGGATATACGTCTCTCATGGACAATGCTGCACGCGCACCTGGAATGCCAGGCAAGCTGAAGAGCCCAGAGTTCGCCAAGCTGAGATCCACAGTTTGGGCACATTTTTTGAGCTGATCATCTCCGTTGGTCCCCACTTTCGAAGAGATTCGCTGGGTGGATTTGTGGGCCCCAAACTCTGCATCCTCCGGTGAAGTCTCATGGCTCAATCCTCTGCCCATCTCAGCCCTCCTCACCTCGACGCAGCGTCTGTCGCAGCACGCGGAAGCCGCGCAACGAGATCCGACGCGACCTGTCCCGCCGCTGGCCAAAGAGCTCAAACGCGCTTCTGCCGGGCCGGGTGTCCTGGGCCAAGGAGATGGGAGTGGATGGGTAGCGTGGCCACACTACAGTAGGGGGGTCTTACGGTTTCTAGGCCGGGTGTCTAGTCGGTGGTGCTAATTCGCTGCTAGTTACAGTACATTCACTCACCTCGACACCTTCGAAGTGCATTTCGTGCTTTCATATATGCCATGTGCTCTTAAATGTGTGTTTTCTAGACTTCTGGATCTTTACCTCTCAAACTCTGGACCTGGCTTTCTAGGCCTCTAGATGTAGTGTTCTCAACGCCTCTGATTTCTACTAGGCCTTTAGACCTGTAGATCTCTTAAGACCCCGACCTCCTCAAGACCTACTGTAAAATTGACCTCTAGGCGTCTAGATCGAATCTCTAGACTCTAAGACCTTCTGCTTCTACACCTCCAGACCCTAGACCTCTAGACACACTGTTTGGTGGCGCTTGCCAGGATACTAAGGGATAAATTCACGATGTTTGGTGATGTTGAATGTGATGTTGCATCTCCAAATGCTTACACAATCGTATATACACTTGTCGGGCTAGCCCGGCTCGATCCCTCACAGTGTAGCAAGCTGAACCAAAACATTCGTACCTGCAAAACACGTAGAACGAACCAAGTATCTCCAGAGATAACTCAAACCCACTCACCTGCCCAGCCATGGCACTTCATGTTGGCATCCCATGAGCGGATGTGAAGCTCCAGGGATCTTTGCCCTGGGCGCCTCCGACGTCGTAGACATCAGCCACGTCACCGCGGAGACAGCAGAACCTCCGCTGCAGTTCGGCTGTGCTGCATCCACGGCAAAGGCGCACCACCTGGTCTCCAGTCTCTGATTGGCATTCCCAGCTGAAAAGTTGTGGCATTCTGAAGCGCCAAGGTACCAACAACCAAATGGCATAAACTCCAAGACCACTGCACCAAATGGCAGCCAAAAAAGGGCTGCACCAACGCCACTCCCATGATATGCCACCAGCCTCACAGTGGAGAGCAGCAACTTGGCTGCGAATCACTTCCTATGATTCATGACGATTCATGAACTGAAGATGCAGCAAAGTGATGCGGAGTGCACGCCCTACAGAAGGTCTTGGGTGTTTTTGGGGGTGTATCTCCACCAGCTGGGGCACGCATGGCTGCGCAAGAGCAACTGCAATTGATCAGCCCAGGTCAACTGCTCCAGGGCCACATCTAAGTGACATGACAGCTGGCTTTCGACACAGACCTGGCAGAAGCGACCGCAAATGAGTGAACTCAATGAGAACCCCCTGAGCACGCTGAGTTATAAAATATGTTAATATCACTGTGAATATCATCTCACCACTCGTGGAACAAATGATTGTCTCGCCAAGAATGGACAGCCCCTCTCATGACCAGCTCTGGTAGGAAATCAAATCGGTGGCCCAATAATGTCCCAGATCAGCCTCTCTATTCGGAGTGAGCTGTAAGAAAGGCACACAGGGTAGGCAAGCGCCTGTTGCGCTGCTGTCCTCACCATCGCTTCATTCAAAGGGCGCCTGGTGCCATCTGCTCGCCGCAGCTGAAGCAAGGCCTTTCTGCGGATGATGCCTCCAAGAAAAGTGCAAGCCACCAAATCATTCATGTTGTCAATTCGGTGCACCAAAGATTTCAAGTGACCCGATCCAACCGATGACACAATCTTCCACAAGGATCTGACCTACATGAGGACACTGGAGACCCCTGGTGATGGCTCGTGACATGTCCACACCTGGTCTTTGTGGCCGTGTGGCCCTCAAAACGGGGCGCAGGCTGCAGGCGGTTGGTTGCTGGGGAGTGGTGAGCCTCAAGACCCGGAGCTTCCAACGCCATGAGAGCTCACAGCCTGCCACCAAGCAGTGAGACAAGGAAGGCGAAACTTGTAAGAAGCTTACGTACCACTACCACCACCACTGCGACCCACCAGAAAGTTGAAAGAATGCTTGTGCTGGAAGAGACTCACCTGGGAACTTACCGTTCTCAGGGGTGCAAGAAAAGCATCTTTCTTGAAGAAGAGTATAGAAGAGTGAAAGGCTTAAAGGATCTTAAAGGACATTCTGATTTGAAGTTCTCACATTTCGCACAAGGTCGAAATAAGGAATTCCTCCTGTCCTCTGCACTGGCAACCAAAGACAAGGGGTGAGACAGTCTAGGGCCCAAAGTGCTTCATCCAACACCCTTCCGGAAGCAATTGAACCTGGATCGACTGTGGTCGGGTAATCCAGGAAGGATTTGAAGAAATCCATGAAGTTGAATCGCTGGTCGCAAGGATATGTCCTCATGATCTCAGTTCGCAGCTGTCTCACAGTAAACTTAGTAAACGTCATTCCAGGCAGTTGGACGGACACTTGCACTATAAAACGTCCTTCATGATGTTCAAAGACTTCTGTCGCTCTCTATGGCTCTCTCTCATCTACTGCATACAGCCTTCGTCTCACCCTCCATTCGTCCCGGCCGAACAACGTCCGACAACCTCCTCGAGTCACACACCCAACGGTGGGTCAAACCGGAGCCCTATGAACTCTCTGGTAGCTTCACCTCCTATGACCTCTGGTAGCTCATCCATGGTCATCCGTCTCTTCGCTCGTCTTCGGGAAAAAACCATACCACCCGTCAACCAGAGGAGGAAGTGCTGGTTGCTCGACCCACAGGTCCCCCTCCGATGATTCATCCAGGGCACAGGTCACCAAAGGACACCCTCACAGAGCGAAGCTCTGGAAGCGTCCATTGAGACCAAAGGGCATGGAACACCTGAACACCAGTAATGTAGCCTCTTGCTCAATAAGCCATCCCATATGAAGCAGGTTCTTCAATTCAAATGGGGTGGGTTTATTAATCAAGAGTCTACATTAGCAAGGAAGTCACCAGAAGCTACTTAGTAGCGAAGCCTGAACACGTAGCGAGCAGCGTTTCACCGCACGGCAGTGAACGAGCAGCGGTTTCGCCGGCTCCGCGATGGCCGTCCGAACGGCAAGCAGGAACTCGTAGCGATGGCCGACAAACCCTAGGAGCGATGGCATCCAACCTATAGTTGAACTAGCGTGGCACTTGTTCCTAGTAGCTTCTTGTTACTACTAGTAAGGCACCT